CAAGGCCAAAAGGAAAAAGAATAATGTGAGGGAAGGGTGGTGGAAAGGAAGTGCCCTCTGAGCAAAGACCTAAAGAAAGTGAGGGAGGGAATCCTGTGGGTGCTTGGGAAAAAGAATGATGACAGGTGCAAAGGCCCTGGGGCAGGAGTGTGGTCTGTTAGGACTGGCAGCTGTGGAGGAGGGGAGAGTAGAGAGGAGGGCAGGGAGGTGACGGGGACAGGTCATACCAGGCCCTGCTGGCGGCTGAAGGCTGGGCTTCTCTTCTTGAGTGAGGTGGGACACTGAGTGCTCAATGGTGCTTTTAGCTGGATTGTTCTTCCCTGCTCATCTGTTTGATTGTTACATTGCTTCTGTTTCAGGATATGGGGTTGACTTCTCCTGGGGTCAGAAGGGACTGGAGGAGAAAGAGGAGCCCCCCCCCCACCTGCTTCTGGATAACCCACAGCTGCAGTTACCTAAGCCCCTCCCCACCCATCAGCCGGCACTTCCTAAGCAAGGCCGTGCACACAGATCTCTGGGAGATTTTTTTTTTTTTAATGTGCAACCTGCAGATGCCACTGGTCCTTGCATCTTGCTGGGGTAGCACGAGTCTCAGGTGAATGTGGGCTCCTGGGTAGGACACGTCTTCAGGGTTTGTGGGTGAGTGGAGACAGAGGAGTGATGAGAAACAGGAAGGAGAAAGAGAGAGTGAGAGAGCGAGCAGGCAGCTTCTTCCTTGGCCTGTTTGCCCAGGCTTCATTGGAGAACTGTGGTCTTGGGCAGCTGAAACCCCTGACGGTGCAGCCTGTAAAAAAAAAAATGTGCTGTGTGCCGGCCAGCCTGCTGGGATTCTTCCTGGAACCTTCAGTGTGGAGCTGATACGAATAGGAAGGCACATCCCAGCCGTGCCGGGGCGAGAGGCCAGGGGAGCCGAGGAAGGAGATGCGTTTTGTCTTGCTGCTGCAGCAAGCTAAGATGCTGAGCTGGCAGGGAGCGAAGTCGGATTCCAATCACGATGAGAGGCAGCCAGGAAAGGGCTTGGCCTCGCCTCGCTGTGTACAAATATTGTCTCCTATTTTCCAGGCTTGCAGGGTGAGGCGGGCACACCCGGCTTTGTTCTCCGGGGGCCCTCCGTGACCAGCAGCCTGGAGGCAGGGAGCCAATCAGAGATGCTTGGTGACAAGACTGGCTTTTGTTGGCTCCCTGGATTGTCCTGAGTCTGAGCTTTGCAGAGTCTGCACGGAGCTGACAGCTGGAGGCAGAGACGGGGAGGGAGCCGGCTGAAAGAGCGGCCTGCGTTTTCCGGCCCGGTGGAGATTTAACTCCTGGATTCTCTCTTTCAGGATCAGTCTTTCCACCTGGCAAGTGGGTTTTTTTTTTGTTGGCTTCAACTTCCCTCGCCTGCCCCCAGCCTGCAGTAGGGACAAAGGGGAGACTGACGCTAATTTTCTTTTCTTTTTTAAGACTTATTTGAAAGGCAGAGAGAGAAAGAGAGAGAGAGAGATATCTCCATCTACTGGTTCATTCCCCAAATGACCTCAAAGGCTGGGGCTGGGCCAGGCTGAAGCCAGGAGCCAGGAGCTCCATCCGGGTCTCCCACGTGGGTGGCAGGGACCCAAATCCTTGCGCCACCACCACCTGCTGCATTAGCAGGGAGCTGAGTCACAAGTGCAGAGCAGCCAGGACTCCAACCAGGCACCAATATCGGGTGTCGGCGTCCCGAGTGTGAGTGGTGGCTTAGCCCGCTGGGCCCCAACCCCAACCCCACCATCTTAATTTTCCAAAGGAGAAATCTCGGAGGGGAGCCAAGTTCCCCCAAAAGAGGCCCCATGAATGCTTCATGGAATGTGAAATGAAGAGAGTGTCGCTGGGGGCCACAGCCACCGCCTGCCCCCTACAATCCCAGCATGGGCTGGAATGATCGGCCCCAGGTGCAAGTCATGCTGAGTAAGGTTCATGGTTAGCCGGTGTCGCGGCTCACTAGGCTAATCCTCTGCCTTGCGGCGCCGGCACACTAGGTTCCAGTCCCAGTCGGGTCGCCAGATTCTGTCCCGGTTGCCCCTCTTCCAGGCCAGCTCTCTGCTGTGGCCAGGGAGTGCAGTAGAGGATGGCCCAAGTGCTTGGGCCCTGCACCCCATGGGAGACCAGGAAAAGCACCTGGCTCCTGCCATCGGATCAGCGCGGTGCGCCGGCCGCAGCGCGCCGGCCGCAGCGGCCATTGGAAGGTGAACCAACGGCAAAGGAAGACCTTTCTCTCTGTCTCTCTCTCACTGTCCACTCTGCCTGTCGAAAAAAAAAAAGGTTCATGGTCATCTCTCCCTAGCGTCCTCTTCCTGCTCCTAGACCCCACACGCGTCCCCCGGCTTCTCAGAGGTTTCATGGGTGGCGGCTTGTGGGGCCTTTGGCCCTGGGGTGTCATTGTTTATTCTCTGTCACTTCAGCAGCTGAAATGAACGCTGACGTGGAATGAACAAGGTAAACCCTCCCCGAGTGAGCGTGACACGCCCATGGGGCGCCCCGGCAGCCTCCTACAGAGCTGTCAGGGGCTGTCCCCGCCTGGAGGGACAGCAGGGACAGCTTCTGGTGAGAGCCACGTGGCCTGCCCTGCCCTCCTTCACGTCTTGAAATGTCAGACTCCCAGACACCTGCCCTTAAGCTCATGTCCTACAATTGGCCAGTTTTAGAATTTATTTTTTATTTCTTTGGAAGTCGGAGAGAGAGGCACACAGACAGACAGACAGAGATCTCCCATCCACTGGTCACTCCCCAAATACCTGCCACAGGGGACCAGCACTGTGACAAAGCAGGCTAAGCTGCTGCCTGCAGTGCCAGCATCCCATATGGGCACTGGTTCGAGTCCTGGCTGCTCCACTTCTGATCCAGCTCCCTGCTAATGCACCTGGGAAAGCAGTGGAAGATGGCCCAAGTGCTTGTGCACCTGCTATGCATGTGAGAGACCTGGATGGAGCTCCTGGCTTCTGCCTGGCTCAGCCCTGTCCATTGAGGCCATTCGAGAAGTGAACTAGTGGATGGAAGCTAGCTAGCTCTCTCTCTCCCTCTCTCTCTCCCTCTATGTGTCTGTGTCCATCTGTAACTCTGCTTCTCAAATACAACAAATTTAAAAACTCTTTAACAAATAAAAATTTTTTTTGACAGGCAGAGTGGATAGTGAGAGAGAGACAGAGAGAAAGGTCTTCCTTTTGCCGTTGGTTCACCCTCCAATGGCCACCATGGCTGGCGCGCTGCAGCCAGCGCACCACGCTGATCCGAAGGCAGGAGCCAGATGCTTCTCCTGGTCTCCCATGGGGTGCAAGGCCCAAGCACTTGGGCCATCCTCCACTGCACTCCCTGGCCACAGCAGAGAGCTGGCCTGGAAGAGGGGCAACGGGGACAGAATCCGGCGCCCCGACCGGGACTAGAACCCGGTGTGCCGGCGCTGCTAGGTGGAGGATTAGCCTAGTGAGCCACGGCGCCGGCCTAACAAATAAAAATTTTAAAAAATACCTGCTATAAGCCAGGGCTGGACCAGGCTGAAGCCAGGAGCCAGGAACTCCATCCAGGTCTCCCATATGGGTGGGCAGGGACCGAAGCCCGTGAGCTGCCACCTGCTGCCTCCAAGAGTGCGCGTTAGCAGGAAGCTGGAGTCAGGAGCAGAGCTGGGACTCTGGGAGCCAGGCCCTCCGACATGGGGTGCAGGCGTCGCCTGTGGCGTCTTGAGCACTGCACCAAATGTAGGCTCTGCACCATGAACTTCAAAGTACCAGTGCAGCGGCGTTTAGGCACTCAGGATATCCACGGTGGTCGGCAACTTACCACCTTGGTCCAGTTCCAAAGCACTGGGCAGGCACTCCTGGTGCCCACCCTCTCTCTCTTCCCGACCCCCAGCCACCACTAAATCTGCTTTCTGTTTCTTTCTTTTTTTTAATTTATTTATTTTTTGACAGGCAGAGTGGACAGTGAGAGAGAGAGACAGAGAGAAAGGTCTTCCTTTGCCGTTGGTTCACCCTCCAATGGCTGGCGCGGCCGGCGCGCTGCGGCCGGCGCACCGCGCTGATCCGATGGCAGGAGCCAGGAACCAGGTGCTTTTCCTGGTCTCCCATGGGGTGCAGGGCCCAAGCACTTGGGCCATCCTCCACTGCACTCCCTGGCCACAGCAGAGAGCTGGCCTGGAAGAGGGGCAACCAGAACAGAATCCGGCGCCCCGACCGGGACTAGAACCCGGTGTGCCAGCGCTGCAAGGCGGAGGATTAGCCTAGTGAGCCGCAGCGCCGGCCTGCTTTCTGTTTCTATGGATTTGCTGTGCTGGGCATTTCTTGTATATGGGGTCATTCATACACAGAACAGTCTTTTTATTTATTATTTATTTGAAAGTCAGAATTACACAGAAAGAGGAGAGGCAGAGAGAGAGAGAGAGAGAGAGAGGTCTTCCATCTGCTGGTTCACTCCCAATTGGCCACAATGGCCTGAGCTGCACCAATCCGAAGCCAGGAGCCAGGGGCTTCCTCCAGGTCTTCCCACATGCGTGTAGGGGCCAAAGGACTTGGGCCATCTTCTACTGCTTTCCCAGGCCCTAGCAGAGAGCTGGATTGGAAGTGGAGCAGCCGGGACTTGAACCAGCGTCCACATGGGATGCCGGCACCTCAGGCAGCGGCTTTATACCCTGCGCCACAGCCCCGGCCCCCAGAATGTATCTTAAATTTACAGTAGAGTCAAAGGCTTAACGCTCTACTAAAGAAAGAGTTCAACAGATAGAAAGGAAGAGGGGTTGGCTCAGCAGGACCTGCCCCAGGTTTGGGATCCACAGAGAGAGAGGAGCACCTGCTGATAGGCACTGGGGTCATCCACACTGGAGGAGGGGCACATCCAGTGTGGGTGGAGGGCATGGGAGCAGGCGTGAGACGGTTTTGGGCTTAGACCGAAGGGGACAAGCTCACCTTGAAACTCCGCCCCCACTTCCCACCCCTGCCCCATGCCCCTTGCTCTTAACCCAGCTGGGAAGGTTTTCCTTAACTCCATGATACTCCCTTTGAGTACATGATTTTAGCCACCATCATAGCAAACTGCATTGTCCTGGCGCTGGAGCAGCATCTGCCAGATGACGACAAGACCCCGATGTCTGAGCGGCTGGTGAGTGACGCCCCCTTGGGACTTTCTGCTTTGCTTTTAGTGGGGTGCACTGACTGGGGTGGGGGTGGGGAGTGGCGGTACAGCAGGCTCTCCGTCCTGGACCCAACAGCCAGATCTTTGTCATAAGAGGTTTTTTTTTTTTTTTAATTTAATTGAAAGGCAGAGTGACAGATCTTCCATCCACTGGTTCACTCCCCTCCAAAATGCCTGCAACAGCCAGGGCTGGGTCAAGCTGAAGCCAGGAGCCAGGACCTCCATCCGGGTCTCCCATGGGGCTGCCAGGGGCCCAAACATCTGGGGCCATCAGTCGCTGCCTTTCCAGGTGCATTGGCAGGGAGCTGGACTGGAAGCAGAGGTGCTGGGACTTGGTGCTCTAACATAGAATGGAAGAGTCCCTGGCAGTGGCTTCATCCATTGCATCACAACTCCCACCCCAAGAGCCAGGCCTCTCGTGAGCTCCAGGAACCCACAGGGAGAAACTCTCCTGCCACACCCCCCCCAACCCTGGACACCCAGAAGACCCAGTGTCCACTAGGGTGGGGCAGACAGGCCAGTGACAAGGGGCCCCACTGCTCCTGGAAACATCACCTTCAAAAACAACACCAGCAAAATCCTTGTAAAAATGTTGGCCTTCCAGAGAACATGATGATAACATGGGTCTCAAAACTTTTATTGCACCCAAATAAATCCATCTTTTCATTGTTTCCCCAAGTCCCCGATTCAACAGCTTTTGTGGAAATTTTGTCACGTGCTCTGCCCATGCCCTTCTTTCTTTCTTTCTTTTTTTTTTTTTTTTTTTTTTTTTTTTTTGACAGGCAGAGTGGACAGTGAGAGAGAGACAGAGAGAAAGGTCCTCCTTTTGCCGTTGGTTCACCCTCCAATGGCCGCCGCAGCCGGCGCGCTGCGGCCTGCGCGCCGCACTGATCCGATGGCAGGAGCCAGGAGCCAGGTGCTTTTCCTGGTCTCCCATGGGGTGCAGGGCCCAAGCACCTGGGCCATCCTCCACTGCACTCCCTGGCCACAGCAGAGAGCTGGCCTGGAAGAGGGGCAACCAGGACAGAATCCGGCGCCCCAACTGGGACTGGAACCTGGTGTGCCGGCGCCGCTAGGCGGAGGATTAGCCTAGTGAGCCGCGGCACCGGCCTTTTTTTTTTTTTTTTTTTTTTTAAGTCTCCTTGATTTGCCTTTCTTGGCGGGGCATATCTTAACGCAGGTCCCAGACAACTTGCCCACGTGGGTGTGCATTGTTGTAGATGGGGTGGCCCTGTCTTCTTGCACTGCCCAAGGACAAGCTTATCCAACAGAGTTCAGAGCGGGTCTCTCCACTCCACTGAGAACCAGCCTGCGTGTGAATTTCCATGATGGTTCCCCCTGAGCCACGGATGTGGGCTGGAAACCAAGTCCAGCTGCCTGAGGAATGGCCCACATGCTGGTTTCTGACTGGTTGTTCCTTTATGATGTGCCTCTGTGTCGTCACTCACCCTGTTCCGCTGTGGGACCTCTGTGACGTCATCCAGCTTTGCTTCTATGACGTCACCCAGCTCGCTCCACTATGACATCACTCAGTTTGTGCCTCAAGGATGTCATTCAGCTTGTTCACCTCCAGTCCCTGTGTTTCTTGTACATTCAAAACGCAACTGCTCATTCCCTAGAACTCTACTGGGCTGCACACCAGCACCAACACCCTTCCGGCAGCTGCAGCCCGGTTCTTCAGGCCCCGAGATTCTCACGTTCAGCGAGGGACCCCGCCCTCCTCTCTGCCGTCATTCCAGAACCAGAAATCACCTCGGGGTGGAGAGAAGGGGGTGTCAGACCCCACTGAGCCCCAACCCACGCGATGTTGGTGGCCTCAGGACTCCAGCGTTGGGACAAAGTTCCTTGTCCCTAAACCACAGTGCCCGAGGCTGGGGACCTGGTAAAGAACACAGCATTATTTTGCTCCGAGCTTCAGGGAGCGAAAGGTCACCCCGCTGGTTTGGCTTCCGGGAAGTCCTCCTGGCTTTGTGACGGCATGATGGCATGGCTGCCATCACCGAGGGAACCTGCGCAGGACGGAGAGGTCACGTGGTAGGACAGGAAGTCAGGGAGGGAGCACCGGAAGCCAGAGAGTGAGACAGAGTGCCTACTGCACCGGAAGTCAGAGAGTGAGAGAGAGCTCCCAGTGGGTGGGAAACCAGAGAGGGAGAGCTCATGTGGTGGGACAGGAAGTTGGGGAGGGAGGGGTCACGTGGTGGTTCTGGAAGCCAGAGTGAAAGAGAGAGCCTACTGCACCGGAAGTCAGAGAGGGAAGGATCATGTGGTAGGACAGGAAGTCAGGGAAGGAGGGGTCACGTGGTGGCTCCGGAAGCCAGAGAAGGAGGAGTCACGTGGTGGGACAGGAAGCCAGAGGTTCCGGGGCCAGGTTTGCTCTTCCATAACAGCTCACTGAGCCCTAAGTCACTCCGATGACCTCACCACCTCTCACGAGGCCCCGCCTCTTAAAGGTTCCAGCACTTCTGAACTCTGGGGACCCGGCTTCCCGTACTGTCTTGGGAAGACAAGCCATGTGCAGAGCCTAGCAGGGCCTATCCTAAACACACACACACAGAGACACACACACACACACACACGGTGCCTCGCGACCCTATGTATTCCAGACTTGTGTTCGTGTTCCCTTAAGATGAGGCTGAGTAGCAAAGAAACGTTTGGAAGTCAATGAAGAGGGCAGCCAGTGGCAAGCTAATGGGAAGAATTGTAGGGGCAGAAAGCAAATAATGGACACTCGAGAAGCATTCTGGGTAAAAAGCCAGGTAGAGGCTCTGTGCACACCGCGTATACAGTTTAATTTCCAACAGGAGAGGTGACCGACCAGCTGGAAGCCAGGACTGTTGGGGTGTGGGGGTGCAGAACTACTTTGCCACTATTTTGGCAACATGAATGGCCATGCTGGTGTGTCCCAGTTGAGAGCCAGCCATGGAAGGGGGGGTCAGATTTTAGAGTAAGGTCAACGCACAGGCTCCAACCTTCAAAGCCCTTAGATACTATGTGGGACCAATGCCTTCCAGTAGGACTTTCTGCAATGACAGAAATCAACGCCTTCTATCTGTACCATCCAGTACAGTACCCGTGGGAAAGGTAGCTAGTGTGACTACGGAACTGCAACTTGAAATCTTACTATGTGGAGCCAGCACTGTGGCACAGTGGGTTCAGCCCCAGCCCACAACACTGTCCATAAGAGTGCTGGTTCAAATCCCAGCTGCTCTGCTTCTGATCCAGCTCCCTGCTAATGTACCTGGAGAGACAGCAGAAGATGGCCCAAGTACTTGGGCCCCTGTTGCCACATATGGGAGCCCCAAGGTCTCCCAGCCCTGGCCATCTGGGGAGTGAACCAACAGATGGAAGATATGTTCTCTCTCTCTCTCTCTCACACACACACACACACATACACACACACATATCTATCTCTAATCTCTCTGTCTTGCCCTCTCCCTCTGCAACTCGACCTTTCAAGTACATGAATACATACATCTTTTTTTAAAAAATAAAATGTCTTATTATGTTTAAATTAAGAGTAAATGGGCACTTGCGGCCAGGGACTTGCCATATGGGCTTGTGCGAACAGTTTGTGACGCTGGCCAAGAGGAAACAAAGCGGTCTCCTCTGCATTTCTGCTTCTCTTGCAAAGACTTTAGGACGAGAGAACCTTGGAAGGGTGCAGTGGGGGAGGGAGTGGGTGCTGGACAGCTGAGGGAGGTGGGAGGCAGGCGGTATCTCTCTGGGCGGGTCTCGCCATGCTCTGCTGCACACGAGGCACTGAACTTGTCTCCTCTGCCTTCCAGGATGACACAGAACCGTACTTCATTGGCATTTTTTGTTTCGAGGCTGGAATTAAAATTATCGCCCTGGGGTTTGCCTTCCACAAAGGGTCCTACCTAAGGAACGGTTGGAACGTGATGGACTTTGTGGTGGTGCTAACTGGGTAAGTGCCGTGCACCTGCTGAGTCCTTTCGATTTCTCTCAGAGGCGAACAATGGTGAGATTTTGGAGGTGGGATGGCGGGTGTGGCCCAGGCTGGGCCCCCTGTGTTCTTTCACGTGCACCTGCCGCCTTCTCTCCCCCAACCTGTGCCCCACCTCAGTATCTCAACAGCAGATGTTTTCTGTTGCAGTTAGAATAATGATGCTTTGCAGTTGGCTATTTGCAAAGTGCTTTTGGTCATTTTGATCACTTAAGCCTCAAAACCACCCAAGGAATTAGGAAATACTAACATTCCCATCTGACCCCTGAGGAGCCTTGAAAAACTGAGAAGAAATGGTCCGAGACCCCAGTGTCCCTGTGTGGTGGGGCAGAGGTTGGAACCTAAGGTGAGAACTTTTGAGTTTCTAACTGTTGGAGGCGCGTGGGTCCCGTCTGTTGCTTAGGGCTGTCTTGCCTTTTTTTTTTTTTTTTTTTTTTTTGCAACTTGGTGAATGTTTGTTGGAGACTTTTGGGTGCAGGGCGTGGTTATGACTGTGGAGGAAGCCAAGCTCAAGGAGATACAGATCCTGCCTCCAAGGAGTTTTCAGGTCCGTATTTTTCAGGTCAGAGCTGGACTGATCCGAAGCCATGAGCCAGGTGCTTCCTCCTGGTCTCCCATGGGGTGCAGGGCCCAAGGACTTGGGCATCCTCCACTGCATTCCCAGGCCACAACAGAGAGCTGGACTGGAAGAGGAGCTACCCGGACAGAACCAGTGCCCCAACTGGGACTAGATCCCAGGGTGCCGGCGCCACAGGCGGAGGATTAGCCTAGTGAGCCGCAGCGCCGGTCACCTGTATTATCTTTTAACTAATCCAATTCTCTATGAACTTTGTGAAGCTCCTTTGTATAATGAGCTAGGGTTGACAGGTGTATGTGTACCCATTCTCATTCAAGGATTCTCTATAAGACAACATGAGTTGCTGTCACAAAAGATCTGAGACTAGGAAGTGGCTTCAACAACAGAAATTTGTTTCTCCTTAAAAAAGGGAGCGGATTTGATGAGCAGCCATCCAGGCTCTGTAAGGGACCCCAAGGTCTTCAGCAAACCCCAGTGTAGATGTGGCCATTATCCATGGAGTGCCGACTCCTCCTCTGCCCCGGCTGTGGTCTTCTGGGACCACTCATCATGGGGAGGTCCCCTGCACAGCCCCCTTCCCCGGGGCCATCGTTCCTGCTGCTTCTGGTCCTGTTGTGGGTCTGAGCTCCCACGATTCAGATGCCGACCGTGTGTGTTGTTCGAGACAGGAACGTTGCTTCCCCAAAGGGGAGCTGGGCGGTTTTTGTTGAGGTGTCCAGGTGTGGGTAGTCTCTGGTGAGGGCTGTGAGCTCACTCGTGTGGGCGTGGCTTTCTTGTCAAGGGGCATGGCTGTCCACTGAGGGGCGTGTCTGTGATCTCACTCGTGTGGGCGTGGCTTCTATCAAAGGGCGTGGCTACCCACCGAGAGGCGTGACTGTGGACCCACTCATGCAGGTGTGGCTTCTATTGAGGGGCATGTTTATCCATGGAGGGACGTGGCTGTGGACTCGTGTGGGCTTAGCTGTCTACTGGGGGGCATAGCAGTGAGCTCATTTGTGTGGGTGTGACTTCTATTGAGGGGTGTGGCTATCCATGGAGGGTGTGGCTGTGTGCTCACTCACGTGGGCATAGCTTCTACTGGAGGGCGTGTCTGCTGAGGGGCATGGTTGTGGGCTCACTCGTGTGGGCATGGCTTCTATTGAGGGACGTGGTTATCCACAGAGGGTTGTGGCTCTGGGCTCACTTTGTGTGGGCGTGGTTTGTACTGAGGGGCATGGTTGTGTACTGAGGGGTGTGGCTGTCCTCTGTGGGCTGGTCCCTCAGTCCTGTGTCTTGGGGCCTTGGCACACTCCAGGGACAGGATGTGGCACTGGGCATTTTTCTGTTACTGTGCTAGGAAATTTGCCTGTGAAGCAGTCCCTTGGCCAAGTTCTTGTCGAAAAATGTTTGCTAAAGATATTCAAGGGCCAATGTTTGGTCTAGTGGTTAAGGCACTTTTTATTTCTCATTAGTCCCTCAAGAATACAAGATAATGACTGTTTATGTGGTGGTTACATTGTATAAGGTGTAAGAAGATCTACAGATGATTAAAGGGCTGTGGGGCTGTGTCCATTTATTTCAAGAAGTAGAGTTACAGATTGGGGGGGGGGAGAGAGAGAGTGTGTGTGTGAGAGAGAGAGAGAGAGAGAGGGAGAGGTCTTCCATTTGCTGGTTCACTCCCCAAATGGCCAGAGCTGAACCAATCTGAATCCAGGAGCCAGGAGCTTCTTCTGGGTCTCCCATGTGGGTGCAGGATCCCAATGACTTGGGTCATTATCTACTGCTTTTCCAGACCATAGCAGAGAGCTGGATTGGAAGTGGAGCAGCCAAGACTCAAACTCGTGCCCGTATGGGATGCCGGCACTGCAGGCGGTGGCTTTACCCACTACACCACAGCGCCGGCCCCTGTGCAAATATTATGCCATTTTATAGAAGGGACTCGAGCAGCTACAGATGCAGGTGTCAGTGGGAGGTTCTGGAGTGGGGAACAGCTGTCTGTGGCACTGCTTCGTGGGCATGAAGTTTCTGTATCAAGGTCTTCTTCCACAACCCGCCTCTTGTGCTGCATGTGGGATCCATCTAACGAGAACACGTCTCATTCACCCACCCTCGGAGCTGTGCAGTGCCCAGCGGGATGGACGTTAGGGACCGCATTTACCCACTTCTGTCTGCTTCCTGCCTGGGGCTGTTTCGATAGCAGCTGCGTCTGGCTGGGGCGTGTACCCAGGAGTGGAACTGCTGAGTTGTGGACTCCACGCATCTTCAACCTCGCTGGATGTTGCCAAATTGCCCTGAGTGGTTGTGCCAATTTACGTTCCCAGAGGCTGTCTGTGCTGGCAGGAAGCAGCTTTAAAAACCCCTGGCTCTTGAAAGACCTGAAGAAACTCCTGTGCTGTCTTTTTTAAATTTATTTATTGGAAAGGCAGAGTTATAGAGGACCACAAGGGGAGAGAGAGAGATCTTCCATCCGCTGGTTCACTCCCCCCAAATGCCTGAAACAGCCAGGACTGGGACCAGGCTGAAACCAGGAGCCAGACGCTCCATCCGGATCTCCCATGCAGGTGCAGGGGCCCAAGGACTTGGGCCATCTTCCACTGCTTTCCCAGGCCACAGCAGAGAGCTGGATCAGAAGTGGAGCAGCCAGGACTTGAACCCACAATGCTGACCCCTAGTGAACACTTTTTGATTCATTCACTGTCTTCCCAGATTTCCCAAGCAAAGCATGGCAGTGAAACATGGCTCATTTTCCCATGAACTCCCAAGATCTCCCTCTACTTGTGCAAAGCTGGGTGGAAAAACTCTTCCCTGTGGATTTCTTTTTCATTTGTTCTTCAAAGCCTCTGAGAAAGTCTAACTTTGTCATTTGATCAAACCCTGTTAAAGCATATATTTGCATTGTATTTGAAGTTCTGATCTGAAAAATGTGTTGGGGGAAGGTTTCCGAGGCTCGGCCGTGAGTTGGAGATGACAGAGCTCTCCCTGTGATGCCCAAAGATGGAGCGCCACACACAACCCAGGGACCGTGTCACAGCACGTGTGGCTCAAGGAAGAGGGTGTTGTCTCTGCCCGCCGCCACCAGCACCTGTAGCTGCTCAGTGGGGTGGGTCGAGCTGGGAGGTGAAGATGCTTCTGAGGATGGAGATGGGCTGCAATTATAAGAAGGCAAGGCCCAGGGATGGCGTTGAGGCACAGTTGGCTGATTCTCTGCCTGCCACACGAGCTTCCTATATGGGCGCTGGTTCGAGTCCCGGCTGCTCCACTTCTGATCCAGCTCTCTGCTGTGGCCTGGGAAAGCAGTAGAAGATGGCCCAAGGACTTGAGCCCCTGCACCTGCATGGGAGACCCAGAAGAAGCTCCTGGCTCCTGGCTTCCTCCTGGCCCCAGCCCTGGCTGTTGCAGCCATTTGGAAAGTGAACCAGTGGACAGACTCTCTCTCTCTCTCTCTCTCTCTCTCTCTGCAACTATGCCTTTCAAATACATCAATACATCTTTTAACAAAAAGAAGATGGAGATGGGGCCCATTCACTGACAGACAGATGGAGACGGTCCAGGAACCCATGGCAGATTGCCCGTCAGTTAAACTTGGGATGGAGGAGTTCTGAGTGTTCAGCATCTGTGATGTTTGTGACTCTGTGAGCACAAATACTCCCTTTTGGGTGGTCCTGTGCAACTGCTCTAGGTGTGCAGCAAATCTGCTGAGGATCAGAGGCAAGGAAAAGACCCGAGTACTGGGCAGCCAGCAGGAAACGATGCTGATTTTAAGGTTTCTGGTAGCATTGCCAAACTTGAGGGCTCCATGGACACTGGACGGGCCAGCCCCTCCATTCCACTCACAACAAAGCTGAGATGCAGAGAGGCTGCGCTGCCCTGGGTCTGTGGATTCATATGTTGATGGGCGCTTGGGTTGATTCTGCGTTTGGTGGTGGGGTTATGCACATGATGTATGCACAGATCTCTCCAAATCCATTTGCATTTCTGCCCAGTCCGTACTCAGGAATGGGATTGCTGACTTGTGTGTGGCAGTTCTGCATTTAATATTTGCTCATTGTATCTCTCCAGTCCTTTTTTTTTAGACAGGCAGAGTGGATAGTGTGAGAGAGAGAGAGACAGAGAGAAAGGTCTTCCTTTGCCGTTGGTTCACCCTCCAATGGCCACCACGGCTGGCGCGCTGTGGCCGGCGCACTGCGCTGATCCGATGGAAGGAGCCAGGTGCTTCTCCTGGTCTCCCATGGGGTGCAGGGCCCAAGTACTTGGGCCATCCTCCACTGCCTTCCTGGGCCACAGCAGAGAGCTGGCCTGGAAGAGGGGCAACCGGGAAAGAATCCCCGACCGGGACTAGAACCCGGTGTGCCAGCGCCGCTAGGTGGAGGATTAGCCTATTGAGCTGCGGCGCCGGCCTTCCAGT